CTTTTACCAACCTCTCCCTATTTCCCCAAATCCTCAGTCCCTGAGACCACCATTCTACTCTCTATTTCTATGAGTTTGACTTTTTTTTCTTTAGGAGTCTACATATAAATGATGCCATGTACAATTTGTCTTTCTCTGTCTGGTTTATTTCACTTAACATAATGCCCTCAAGTTCCATCCATGTTGTCTTAAATAGCAGGATTTCCTTCTTTCTTGTGGCTGAGTAATATTCCCGTGCGTGCGTGCGTGTGTGTGTGTGTGTGTGTGTGTGTGTGTGTGTAACATCATTATCCATTCAATTGCTTATAGACACTTAGGTTGTTTCCATGTCTTGGCTACTGTGAATAATGCTGCAATGAACATGGAAATACAGATATCTCTGTGATATCCTGTTTTCATTTCCTTTGGATATATAGTAATCAGAAATGAGACTGCTGAATCAGGAGGTTCTATTTGAAATTTTTGAGGGACCTCCATACTGTATTCCATACTCATTGCACCAATTCATATTTTCTCCAACAGCCTCACCAATACTTATCTCTTGTCTTTTTGATGAAAACTATTCTAAAAGATATTAGATGATATCTCATTGTAGTCCTGATTTGCAGTTCCCTGATAATACTGAACACCTTTTCATGTACCTGTTGCCATTTGTAGGTTCCTTTTGATTTTGTTGGTTTCTTTTGCTGTGTAGAAGCTTTATAGTTTCATATAGTAATCCCACTAATTTTTGCTTCTATTGACATTTGCTTTGGGTGTCAAATGTAAAAATTCATTGCAAAGACCTTCATCAAGGTTACCCTCAAGTTTTCTTTTAGCAGATATTTGGTTTCTTGTCTTAGATTCAAGTCTTTAATCCATTTTGAACTTATTGTTGTATATGGTGTAAGACAGGGATCCAGTTTTGTTCTTTTGCATGTGGCTGTCTAGTTTTACCAATACCATCTACTGAATGGACTGTCCTGTCACCATTCTATATTCTTGGTCCCTTTGTCACAGATTAATTGACTATATAAGCATGTGCTTATTTCTGGAGTATTACTTTTCTGGCAGTTTATTTGGGGTGGGGGGGGAGGTGGGTTAATGGTAAAGGAGAAAGGAGGGAGAACTTAAATAATCACAGCTAATTTCATTACACAATTCTAGAAAGTTGTGAAGAGACTCCCTCATGAATAAGAAAATGCTGCATTCTCAGCACTGACTTAAATTCTAAAGATCAACATGGATAAAAATGAAAGGTCGCCTAAAAGAGGAAAAAGAGACTCTTGAGTAGGGAACACTCTTTCTTATTTAGACTGAATTGACCAAAATAGGAATTATATTAGTCATCTGTTGGCAACATCCACCCAAACATCATTCAAGCTAGTGATGACTATAGTCATAGACTTCTAATTTTTCTTTCCTCATTGACAATAGAATCCTTCATTTCAAATATAAACAACGGATTATGTTAGTCTGACAGGTGTTAAATATTTGACATTAAATATTCCTTAGTTTGATTCCACAATCAAAATGCTTCTGATTTTGATATAGCTTCACACAAAGATCTGACAACAAGAAGAGAATGTGTTGATGATGCAGATAATACATATTTTGTTGTATCTGACCTTTTAACTTATCACTGTAAATTAATAAACTAGCATGCTGATTTTAATACATCAGTCTAATCAACTTGGATAACGTAATTCTGCATCATGAAAAGTGATTTGTCTCCCCTTGTAGAAATCAGATTTCTACATCTAGAAAATTCTTATGTTGGAATTTAATTAAAGTAACCAAAACAACAAATGCTCCTTTGTGAGGCCATTTCAGAAAGAAAGCCAACCTTTTCCCCTGGTGATAATACTCATTCATTTGTATATAGTAGAAAGTACAGCAAATAATGCAAATTGACTCTCTCAATAACCTCCAAGTTCTTTTATAATTACAAACTCTTCTTGTATTACAGAGCCTTGAAAGCAAAACAAATAACCATAAGAAAAATATTTTCCTTATTCCTTTACAGAGGAGTGGGATTTGCATGCAATCTGACTTTCTCAAGGAATCGACCCGAATGAGACTTGAAGAAGAAATCAACAATTTGAGAACATGCTGCACACGGGAGGCTGGGTTTTTCAGGGCACCTATTATGAATATTATATTGCCTAATGCCCAACATCATAAGTGCCAAATGTTATAAGGTAGGGCAAGTGTGGTTTCTACTACAACAGCCCCAAGCTAGGAAGTTCCTAGTACCCAGAATTCGTTTCTTGTTTACTCTTCAGCCATGAAATTACATAAGCTGCCCAGTAATTGTCATAAATCCTTTCTTGCATAGAGAAAGTATATCCAGTTGCCTCAAACTAAGAACTCCAATTAATATACTGAAAAACCAAGTATTTTCAATTTCTACAGTTGTAGCTTATAAATTTCAGTTCCACCATCTTGCTACTACCACCACTAATCATAATGAGGTATATTAGTATTTACTTAGGTGCTTCAAAAATAATATCAAGAATTGTGATAAGTGATCTATAAACATTCTGATTAAATACTCTATATATATTCTGTGAAAGATCCCCTCAGAAAAAGGCCTGACAAGGAAAATGGCAAGTTCAACATGAGAGGATACAAAACTTTTTTTTTTAATTTTGTTTTATTGCTTAAAGTATTACAAAGAGTATTACATATGACTCCTTTTTTTCCCCCCCTTGACCTACCCCCCACCCCCGTGTCTTGTGTCCATTGGTTATGCTTATATGCATGCATACAAGTCCTTCAGTTGATCTCTTACCCCCCTCCCTCCTGCCTCCCAACCCTCCCCGGCCTTCCCGCTATAGTTTGACAGTCTGTTCGATGCTGCTCTGCCTCTGTATCTATTTTTTTTCATCAGTTTATAATGGTCTTTATTATCCATAAATGAGTGAGATCATGTGGTATTTTTCTTTCACTGACTGGCTTATTTCACTTAGCATACAGCTCTCCAGTTCCATCCATGCTGTTGCAAATGGCAAAAATTCCTTCTTTTTTACAGCAACATAGTATTCCATTGTGTAGATGTACCAGTTTTCTAATCCATTCATCTGCTGATGGGCACTTAGGCTGTTTCCGAATCTTAGCTATGGTAAATTGTGCTATGAACATAGGGATGCATATATCCTTTCTGATTGGTGTTTCTGGTTTCTTGGGATATATTCCTAGAAGTGGGATCACTGGGTCAAATAGGAGTTCCATTTTTAACTTTTTGAGGAAATTCCATACTGTCTTCCATAGTGGCTGCACCAGTCTGCATTCCCACCAGCAGTGCACGAGTGTTCCTTTTTCTCCACATCCTCTCCAGCACTTGTCATTTGTTCATTTGTTTATGATAGCCATTCTGACAGGTGTGAGATGGTACCTCATTGTTGTTTTGATTTGCATCTCTCGGATGACTAGTGACTTGGAGCATGTTTTCATATGTCTCTTGGCTTTCTGAATGTCCTCTTTTGGAAAGTGTCTATTTAGGTCCTTTGCCCATTTTTTGATTGGATTGTTTATCTTCCTTTTGTTAAGTTGTATGAGTTCCCTATAAATGTTGGAGATTAAACCCTTATCGGTGATAACATTGGCAAATATGTTCTCCCACGCAGTGAGCTTTCTTGTTGTTTTGTTGATCGTTTTTTTTTTGCTGTGCAGAAGCTATTTTGATGTAGTCCCATTTGTTTATTTTCTCTTTAGTTTCCAATGCCCTAGGAGCTGTAACGGTGAAGAAATTGCTTCAGCATATGTCTGAGATTTTGTTGCCTCTGGATTCCTCTAGTATTTTTATGGTTTCCCATCTTACATTTAAGTCCTTTATCCATTTTGAGTTTATTTTTGTGTATGGTGTAAGTTGGTGGTCTAGTTTCATTTTTTTGCATGTATCTGTCCAATTTTCCCAACACCATTTATTGAAGAGACTGTCTTGACTCCATTGTATGTTCTTGCCTCCTCTGTCAAATATTAATTGAGCATATTGGTTCGGGTCGATTTCTGGGTTCTCTATTCTATTCCATTGATCTATAATGTCTGTTCTTTTGCCAGTACCAGGCAGTTTTGAGAACAGTGGCTTTGTAATACAGCTTGATATCTGTTATTGAGATCCTACCTACTTTGTTCTTCTTTCTCAGGATCGCTATTCGGGGTCTTTTTTTATTCCAGATGAATTTTTGGAGAGTTCGTTCTAGGTCTGTGAAATATGCCGTTGGTATTTTAATGGGGAGTGCGTTGAATTTATAGATTGCTTTGGGTAGTATGGACATTTTAATGATGTTGATTCTACCAATCCATGAACATGGTATGTTCTTCCATCTGTTTCTGTCTTCCTCTATCTCTTTTTTCAACCTCCTGTAGTTTTCTGAGTAGAGGTCTTTTACCTCTTTAGTTAAGTTTATTCCTAGGTAGCTTAATTTTTTTGGTGTGATGGTAAATGGGATTGCTTTTTTAGTCTCTCTTTCTGTAAGTTCACTATTGGTGTATAGAAATGCCATAGATTTCTTGGATACAAAACTTTTTTTTTTTTTATTGCTAAAGGAATTACAAAGGGTATTACATATGTGTCCTTCCCCTCCCCCCGCCCGCCCTTGACAATCCCCTGGCCTCCCTTACCCCCCAGTGTCTTATGTCCATTAGTTATGCTTATATGCATGCATACAAGTCCTTCGGTTGATCTCTTACCCCCCTCCCTCCTGCCCCCCAACCCTCCCTGGCCTTCCTGCTGCAGTTTGACAATCAGTTTGAGGCAGCTCTGCCTCTGGGATACAAAACTTCTTAAACAAATTCACACATATGCTGTTCTTAGAAGCATTCAGATGATGATTTTTATTTTAAAAGAGAACAATTAAACTTGGATGTAATTGTTGTTGTTGCTTTCAACAGTGTAGTAATGCATTCTTTTTAAAGTAGCCCACAGAACTCAAGCTGTCAGTTCTAACAAATATGGCATAAACAAAATCCTAAATGTAGTCCTTTTGACTATACTTTGGCTAGAAAAGTTGTCATACCTGAAGATTGATCTCCGCCTCATAGAAGGTTAGGCACGAGCAGTAATGTCGATCTGAGTCAATATCTGTCAGGACCACCACAAAGAACGTTGGCTGCTTCCTCTCTCTGGACAGCTGCCACCCACTGGGCTGACAAAACTAAATGGGATAAGAAAATATTGTCACATTTTAAAAGTACTATGAAAATTTATTATTTACAAATCTCTGAGAAATGTTAAATATCCCCAAATTTTTAAAAATTTCCAGCTGATGTGACAATACCTCAACCAATATAAAAATTGAAAATGTACAGATTCATTATGTAAAATACCTTCACTAATGTGCACTTACATTTTTTGAGGACAGCCTAGATTTTCCACAGATGCTACTCAGACCTAGGTTGGCACACATAGGAACATAGAACCAAAATGAGAGACCTTCCCCCATTACAACAGATCATAAAGTTGAAGATAAAATGCCAAGTCTCTGTCACTGATGGAAAACAGAATTATTTTTAAATGTCTTCATTAACCTTAAGCGACTTCAATTCAGTGCAATAAAAGAGATATCTTGTTCATCAAGACAGACCATATTCTGGGCTATAAAATACCCTTTAACATATTAAAAAGAATAGAAATTATACAATGTACACTCTCAGACCACAGGAGAATTAAATTCGAAATCAGTAACAGAAAGATAGCTGAGAAATCTCAAAATATTTGGAGATTAAAGAACACACTCCTAAATAACACATGAATAAAAGCAAAATCTCAGAAGAAATTTTAAAATATTTTGAACCAAATGAAAATAAAAATACAACTTATCAACATTTGTGGGTTTCAGTACAAGCAGTGCTTAGAGGGAAATTTATAGCATTGAATGCATATATTAAAAAAGAAAACTAATCTAAAATCAGTAATCTAAGATTCTATCTTAGGAAACTAGAAAAAAGAGCAAATTAAACCCAAAGTAAGCAAAAAGAAATTTATTTTAACTAGAGCAGAAATTAATGAAATAGACAACAGAAATTCAAAAGAGAAAAATCAATAAAACCTATAGTTGGTTCTTTGAAAAGATCAATAAAATTGACCAGACACTAGCCAGGCTAAGAAAAAGACATAATCTGATAAAATTTACAAAAGAAGAAATAATCTGAAAAAGCCAGTATCTATTTTTTTAAAAATATATTTTATTGATTTTTTACAGAGAGGAAGGGAGAGGGATAGAGAGTTAGAAACATCGATGAGAGAGAAACATCGATCAGCTGCCTCCTGCACATCTCCCACTGGGGATGTGCCCGCAACCCAGGTACATGCCCTTGACCGGAATCGAACCTGGGACCTTTCAGTCCGCAGCCCGACGCTCTATCCACCGAGCCAAACCGGTTTTGGCCAATATCTATTTTTTAAAAATGATTCAATAATTAATAACCATCTAAGACAAAGTATCAGGCCCAAATGGGTTTACTAATAAATCTACTAAATATCTGAGGAAGAAATTAGACCACTCTATACAAACTCTTCCAGAAGATAGAAGCAAGGGAAATACCATTCTATGAATCCAGCACTACCCTAAATACAAATACCAGGAAAATAAATTACAAAAAAAACAACAACAGACTATATGCAATATAATCTCATGAACTATGCAATATTTCTCATGAACATAGATGCAAAAATCTTCAAAATACTTGCAAGTCAAATTCAACACTGAAAAAATTACATACCACAGCCAAGTAGGATTTATTCTAGGTATGCAAGGTGGTTCAATATTTAAAAATCAACTGTGTAGCCTGCCCAGTGTGGCTCAACCTAACTTGAGCATCAACCTATGAACCAGGAGGTCAGGGCACATGCCTGGGTTGTAGGCTCAGTCCCCAGTAGGGGCATGAAAGAGGTGGCTTATCGATGATTCTCTCTCATCACTGATGATTCTGTCTCTTCTCCCCCCCCCCCCCCCCGCCTCCCTTTCTCTCTGGCGTCAATAAAAATGTATTTAAATAAATAAATAAAAACCAACTAATCCTATCAAGAAGCTAACCCCCTCCAAGCACATGATCACATCTATAGATGCAGAAAAAGCATCTAAAAAATTCAACACCTATTAATGACAGAAACTCTCAGCACACTAAGAATACGGGGACGTTTCTTAACTTTAATGTGCAGATTAGAAAGAAGGAAATGTAACTATCTTTGTTCTCAGATGACAGATTGTATGTGTAGAAAATCTGAAAAGGTCAACAAAAAGTAATTAACATGGAAGTAATAAGCAATTATAGCAAGGTTCCAGTTCACAAGGTTAATATACAAAAGTCAACTGCTTTCCTACATACCCAACAATGAACAAGTGTTATTTGAAATTAAAAAATGCGTCCTGGCTGGCTTGGTTCAGTGGATAGTGTCGGCCTGCGGACTGAATGTTCTCAGGATCGATTCCAGTCAAGGGCACATGCCTGGGTTTCAGGCTTGATCCCCAGTGTGGGGCATGCAGGAGGCAGCCAATCAATGGTTCTCTCTCATCATTGATGTTTCTATCTCTCTCTCCCTCTCCCTTCCTCTCTGAAATCAATAAAAATATATTTTAAAAAATATAATACTGTTTATATTAGCACCCCCCTAAAATAAAATAAAATACATTAGCACCTCAAGAAATAAAATATAAATCTAACAAAATAAATAAAAGATCTATATGTGGAAAACTAAAAAACTCTGATAAAAAAAAAAAGAACTAATTAGAGTCCGTGTTCATGGATAGGAACACAATATTGTCAAATGCAATCCCAAAACAAAATCCCAGGAAGTCATTTTATGGGTATTGTCAACCTGATTTTGAAGCTTACAGGGAGAAGCAAAAGACCCAGGTGGCCAACACAATCCTGAAAGAAGAGAACAAAGTCAGAAGAATGGCACTATCCAACTTCAAGACTTACTATAAAGTTACAATAAGTAAAGCTGTGTAGTATTAGTGAAAAAAAGGAGACAAATAAATCAATCACACAGAATCGAGAGCCCAGAAACAAACCATACAAATACAATCAACCAAACTTGATAAAGAAACAAAGACAATGCAGTGGAGAAAAGATAGTCTTTTCAACAAATGGTGCTGGACCAACTAGATATTTATATACAAGAAAATAAATCCAGACACAGACTTTACACCCTTCACAAAAATTAACTCAAAGTGTATCACCAAAATGTAAAATGCAAAACTATAAAACTCCTAGCAGATAACACAGGAGAAAACCTAGATGACTCTGTTCAAATGATTTTTTAGATATGACACCAAAAGCATGAACGATGAAATGATCATTGATAAGCTAGGCTTCATTAAAATTACAAACTTATGCTCTGAGAAAGAAACTGTCAAGAAAACAAGACAAGCCAAGGACTTAAAGAAAATATTTGCAATCGACATATATGGTAATGTATTATCATTTAAAATATATAAAGAATTCTTAAAACTCAATAATAAGAAAATGAACAACACAATTTTAAAAAAGGGTAAAAACTGAACAGACACCTCACCAAAGAAGATTTATAGAAGGCAATAAGCATATGAAAAGATGTCCAACACCATAAGTCATTAAGAAATTGTAAATAAAAACAAAATACTACTACACACTTATGGTAATGGCTGAAATCCAAAACACTGACAATACTAAATTGTCAAGGATGTGAAGCAACAGGAACCGGAAAAATAAACTGTGGCACATCCACACAAATAATATTCAACATTAAGAAATAAACTATCAAGCCACAGAAGGCATGGAGAAACCTTAAATGCATATTACCAAGTGAAAGACACCAATTCAAAAAGGCTACATATGGTATGATTTCAACTATATGACATCATGGAAAATGCAAAATTATGGAGACATTAAAAATATTAGTATTTGCCTGGGGGTGGGTGGGTAGAGAATAGATAGGACACAGGACTTTTAGGGCAGTGAAACTATTTTGTATGATTCTGTAATAGTGGATACAACACAAGAGTGAATTCTCTATGGACTTTGGTGATAATGATGTATCAAATCAATGTAGATTCATCCATCAACTGTAACAAATATACACCACTGTGTGGGGAATTTTGACAGTGTGGCAAATTTACATATGCAAAGTGCTCAGTCAGAATAGCCTCTGGCATATAATTCAATGTTAGATTACTATGATTATTACCTCCTTGGCTCCAATCTCTGTTTCTATCTTCATATCTATAAAACTTTCTCATTCTGTACCAAATTTTTCCAAAACCTGTCTCTCCTTTCATCCTCATTTACTCAATCTAGAAAGACATCCAAAAGGTGAAATTTGGATGATTTCCTACATTTGGAGAGAGATGTTAATCACATTCACAACTTCTCTGCAGAATGAAAAATTCTACTAGGCCAATAGATTTTAATGTAACAAAGTATAAGAAGTTCACTGATGTGTTTACAGATTCCACACTGCAACTAACCTTTAAGAAATGACTATTAAATTTTGGTGTGGTATTCAAATAAGAGTTTCCATAATTATCTGAAAAGGTTATTAAAATACTCCTCCTCTCTTTCCAAGTACATATTTGTGAGACCTGATTTTCTTCATATACTTTAACCAAAACAAAATACGGCAAGAGCTTGAAAACAGGAGCAGGTATAAAAAGCCAGCTAGCTGCCTTTTATTAAGCCAGTATTAATGATATTTACAAAAATATAAAACAATAGCACTCTTTTCTCTCTTTTTTGTTTTGAAAATTATAGTTTTTTTATAAAAATATGCTATTTAATATGCAATGGTTTATTATTATTTTTAAATGAATAAATAAATTGCTTTACATTTTTCTGGTTGTAATTTCTAATACATAAATGAATAGATAAAACTACATGAACAAAACTCCTTGAGGATCATCAATAAGCTGAGAGACCCAAAAGTAAGAGACCTGTTATTCTAGTGAAATGTGTGTTAACATGTAACTAGCCTTGGCTTAAACTATGTGATAGCAGAAAGGGATAAGCCTGGTAGAACTGGGAAGTTTTATCAGGTTACAACAAAACAGAGAAGTTTCTTTCAAAATCTTCTTTCTCTCAACAAACGTCTTTCCTGAATTAAATATATTTTTCTAAAATGAGTTTCAATCAGTTTCAAAATCAGGAAACAGGTGTCTGTGCTTGGGTTGTAAAA